GTGTACAGTCACTCAAAAAAATTACCCTTACAAAAATTATGTTAGAAAATATGACACAACGGACGAAGGATTTTGACAAACCTTACCAAGACAATAGGAATCCCAGTGAATATAACGTACATTCCATTTACTCAATTTTATCACCGTTCATTTACTCTCTCTCTCCTCTCTCTTCCACTAAATATCATAACTTAACTTTTTATTTTATATCTTGTTTTTTTTGCTCCACATTCAACTTGCTTCCTTAGTACACCTCCAGGCCACAGATGACGCGAGGACCTAGGGTGGATTATTACTCTCCAGGTGGTGGCATTTGGGGGAGCCTTAGTGTGTGTGTGTGTGAAGCTGTTGATGATGCCTCTCGTTAAGGTTATTGTGGTGCTGGGTTGAGGAGGCTGAAGGCGCTACAGGAGTTATAAAACACTATAGATCTTTTTTTTTGCTAAGATGAGCGATGGAGATGCTTATATATATACAGTATATATCTCTCTCGCTCTTATTTTTTCTCTCCCTTATTTTCTCTCTTTCTCTGACTACTCTCTCTGTCTCTCTCTTTGTCTCTCTCTTTCTGTCTGTCTGTCAGTCTATTTCTCTCTCTCAATCCCCTTTCCTGGGTAGTGTGAAATAACTAAATTTACTTTACTTTATTTTATTCCCCTTGACCATACATATTACCCCCCATACCCAAGATCCTCAGTTTGAGAGAAGAGAGAGAGTGGAGTAACCCTGATAATGTCTTGGTTATATATATCAGGTGGCATAGTATAAGAGGGGGGCAGTCCTCAAGGTGTACTCCTAGGACCTACACTGTTTTGTCCCTCACCGATTGAGATGATGAATGTGATGTTATAGCATTGGGAGTTATGATAATGATATTGATGGTGTTATGGGTGTTATGTGATGGTGTTATGAGATCGTATGAGTGTTAGGTGACCGTGTTATGTGATCATATGAGTGTTATGTGATGGTGTTATGAGAGTTTTGTGATCGTGTTATGAGTGATATGTGATGGTTTTATGTGTGTTATGTGATGGTGTTATAATAATAATAATAATAATAATAATAATAATAATAATAAACGGTTTATTAATAGAGTTGCAGCCGGTGGCTGAAAATATACAAACTTACATGTGATTTAGACATAATGATATACATTCAATACATTTCCAGGGCTGTACAGTACATAAATCAGGAGCTGTTTATTATTGTAGCAATAGATGGGATGGTGCTATTCTTATATCTATCAGTGCGGGCTCTTATGGGCTGAATTTTGTTGTAGTGGCGGACTGCTCGAGGTGGGCGGGGGACTGCCGGTGGCAGGATGGTGCAAGAGTCCACTGCTAACCCTGCTAGTGCGTGGTGGTGGAAGTCACTGAAGTATGGCATTTCCAGGGTGGAGAGAGCGTTGTTGTAGCCGGAGTAGTCTGCGCCGAGCATGATTCTGCAGGGCCTCTTCTGTACCTTCTCTAGCTGACGTTGTTGGGTAGAGTTGAGAGAAGACGACCAGGCTGGTGACGCATACGTTAATTTGGGGAGAATAAAGGCGTTGTAGATAGTCCTCAGCTCTGGCGTGGGTGCCCCAAGTGACCTGAGTCGTCGTAGCATGCAGAGTCGGTACGAGGCTGCCTTGGTTGTGTTGTTTACATGGGCCTTCCAGTCCAGTTTGTGGTCTATAGTAACCCACAGGAGTTTATGTGATCGTATGAGTATTATGTGACCGTGTTATGAGTGTTATGTGACCGTGTTATGAGTGTTATGTGACCGTGTTATGAGTGTTATGTTACCGTGTTATGAGTGTTATGTGACCGTGTTATGAGTGTTATGTGACCGTGTTATGAGTGTTATGTGACCGTGTTATGAGTGTTATGTGACCGTGTTATGAGTGTTATGTGACCGTGTTATGAGTGTTATGTGACCACTTCATGAATTATATCTCCAATGGGTGTTTTTCCTTTCAAAATTTTCCATAATTTATCATCAGTATTATTATAGACTTCAAAAAAATAAGAATACTGTGTACATTTGGCTGTCATGGACGGGTTACCATAACAGCGGTTGGTGCGGTTGTAAACAGGTCATTATGGGCTGCACCACTGTCCAATATCCGCTATCAATGTTTTTATGCATTGTATAATCTTTCTAAAGACTGGGATGATCGCTATTTTAAAACAACAGAGATTATCCTCATTTGAAACAGCAGATAATATTGTGATTTAAAATAACAGAGATTATCGTCATTTAAAACAGCCGAAATTAACGTTATTTAAAATAGCTCTAATTACTATAAACCAATAGATCTACTGAGTTATTAAAATACATTACAGATAAACAGACAGACACACTGACTGTAAGATACCACACATTTCACTAGGTTATATATGTACAGTAAACAGTATCGTGTTTGATTGTAACCGAAAATAAACTGTTACTGCACATAATAATAATAATAATAATAGTAATAATGAAATAATTGAGTTACTTTTTTGAGTGCTTATAAAATGCTAACTACTGTATTGAGCATTTTAACGTCGCTTGCAATCTCGTCTGTCCACAAGCCGCCCCACGGAAGCCTAGTAGTCAGCATTAAATGAGGTTAAGTTTCCTCCTTTGCGAAAGCTCTTGAACTTATCCCATTATTTCTGTATTTATTATTCCATCTATACTGTTTCTCTCTTCTGAATAGGTGTTATTTTGATCGTGTTTCTGTGTATGTTAGTCTCTTTACACTATGTTCCTTAAAAGTGCGAAAAATATTTATAAACTTCCATAGAAAAACACCCGAGAAATTTTCGGGACTGTAATATAACTCTTGGGTGATTACTATCCATGTTATATTAAGTTTTATATTGTATTTGTGATTTCTTAGCTATTTTTTTTATGATGAATGTTACTGTTTAGTTTACCAGTATGTATAAAGGACAGTGTGTGTGTGTGTGTGTGTGTGTGTGTGTGTGTGTGTGTGTGGTATCCGACTTTAGTTTTTAAGTTGGGCGTGAAATTTGACATAGTGTTAGAAATGCCATAAAAGATTAACGTCTAAATTTTATATTACACAAGCGAGGGGAAATATATTTTATCAAGACAATTGAAGGGAAAAGAAGACATATTTATTAAAGCAGTGTTAGTTGTCATTGTAAAATATACACTATTGAGGCCTTTGTTTTTTATTAAAGTAACGAAACAGTTTTTTGAGATGTTTTTTTTTTCTCTTTTTTTTTCAACACACACATACCTTGTTAAGCCTGGAGGTGATAGTCTCTTGAAATTTCCTCAGAATTTTTGGTAATTTTTTTGTTTTTGTTTTTAAATATCGAAAGACGTTGAAATATGGTGACGGGGAGTTCAACATTCAAAGAGATTTTTTTTTTTTTTTAGATTTTCAGATTTCGATTATTTTCGTAAATGAACAATATTTTATGTAATCCCTTGTAGTCGAGAGTTAATGTAGTGGAAGACCTGCCTGTAGAAGAACGGTCATGTGTTGTGGACGTTCACTACTGGCACCTTCTACTGGTAACTTTATTTGTGTTATATAATCATGTTTATTTACCTTTTTACACCTTTCCCCCCCGCCCCTCCCCCGCCCTCCCCCCCACATTACCTCCTTGCACCCTGCACACGAAACTCGGGACCCCAGAAAAAACTCTCAGACCCCCTGAAAATCATTCCATGGGCCTCAGCTTCTGACTAAGCTCATGTTTCACCCAGTTAAGAAGCTACCTAATTTACGTTAGTTAATTGAAGAAGCTGAGGCAGTGCAGCATAAAACTTAATTACCAACCCCGCTTGTTTGTGTGTGTGTGTGTGTGTGTGTGTGTGTGTGTGTGTGTGTGTGTGTGTGTGTGTGTGTGTGTGTGTGTGTGACTTAAATGTTTGTTTCCCCTGAGGTATTTATTTTTCTGTATCTCTGTCTCTTTATTTCTCCATCTGTCTTTATCTTCTGTCTCTTATTTAACTCCATTTCTGTCTCATTTCTTCATTTATGTCTTTTTTCTCCTGTCTCATTTTTATCTTCTGTCTCTTTTATCTCTATTTCTGTCTCTTTTTTATTTCCTTCTCTGTCTCTTTTTATCTCCTTCATTCTGACCAATTTTTCATTCTTCTCTTATTCTTGTTTTCTCTTTATTCTAATTTGTATATCTGTCTCTTCTTCTTTATTATCTCTTTTTTGTCTTGTTGCCATTTATATCTTTTTGACTTCCTCTTCTTCTTAATTTAATCTAATCTCTCTCTCTCTTTTTCTTCTATTCCTTCTTTCTCTTCTTCCGTTTATCATTATTGTCATTATTTTACGTGTTATTCACCTTCCTTGTTTAATCTTCCCCCTCTAACGCACGCACACACACACGCACACACACACACACACACACACACACACACACACACACACACACACACACACACACACACACACATTTGCACATCATTTGTCTTTTCCTCTGGACCAAGAAGAGTGGAAGAGATGTCACGTGAAGATTAGTCACCCTGCCAGCTCTTATTTCACCTGATGACGTCACCTGGGTTTGGTTAGATTTGGTTGGGTTAGGTTAGGGCTTTGGTTTGGTTTGGTTTGATTAGTTAAGATTATGTTAGGTTAGGTTAGGTTAGGATAGGTTTGGTTTGATTATGTTAGATTAGGTTATCAGCGCCTTGGTTAGGTTAGGTTAGATTAGGTTATCAGCGCCTTGGTTAGGTTGGAAGTTTAGATGAAAGTATCGTTTTGGTTGTGTTGAAGAAGTTATGTTAGGGATTAGTTATGAGCGCCCTACAGGTTAGAATAGATTAATATCAGCGCGCCTTGGTTAGGTTAGGTTAGATTAGGTTATCAGCGCCTTGGTTAGGTTAGGTTAGGTTATGAGCGCCTTGGTTAGGTTAGGTTAGATTAGGTTATCAGCGCCTTGGTTAGGTTAGGTTAGGTTATGAGCGCCTTGGTTAGGTTAGGTTAGGTTATGAGCGCCTTGGTGTGGCGCACAGGAGGGAATTAAAATAAAATTCAATGCTGTACCACATTTAATACACAACGTGCATTTGTTTATTTTCTCGAATGCCATAACTACAGAGGTATCAAGAAGAACATGTGGAGAACACCGCCGGTAGATGGCGCGCCTGCTGGTCCAAAGGGGCTGGATCTCTCTGTCTATTGGTCGAAATTATTTCTTAGCTGGAACCTCCAACCAGCTGACGCGTCACTCTTGGGGAGGGGGGGTGGGGGGGGAGGGGCTGCCGGGTAGGGTATTAAAACGGCGTCCTGTGAAGGGGGTCTTGGGAAGTCGGCGGTTCTTGGTGAGAAACGAGTAGTGAAGAGTAAGCCAGCTGAACTAGTAGAGTGGTGTGGACGGCAAGTGGTTGAAAGTTACAGTGGGTTTGATTGAAGATTTGAGATTAGAGGTTGAGAAAATTAAGTTTTATTAATGATTTATCTGTAGGTAATTAAGGTGAAAGATGGAAGTCAGAGTTAGGGACCAGACGATGATGAAGGTGAAGAGTAGCCAGGAAGCTTAAATCTGAGTCTCAGGGAAGCTTAGTGAGAAGGAAGGCTCAGGTGAGGAGTGAAAAGGAAACCTGAGAGAGAGAAAGAGTAGGGCCGACGGTGATAGGGAAGAGGGAGGGAGGGGTGACGTCAGTAGGGGGGGTGGGGTGGTGGTAGTGGTAGGAGGGAATCATATTATGTTCACCTCTTACGAGCCAGCGTCTCCAGGAGTCTCTCACTCGCTTCCGTCTGCAGGGAGAGACAAGACAAAACGGGGATGAGTCTCGCGTGTAGAAACATCTCGCTGAGGTAGTTTGATACAATTCGTGCACAAAATATTACCTGAAAAGTTTCTCAATTGAGGGTGAGATGTAGCCATAGTGTAACTACCATAGCTACCATCATCATTTTTATATAGCTTATTATTCCTTCCTCACTAACCACCATACCATCATTATAACAACCATTCCTTCCTCTATAACCACCATACCATCATTATAACTACCATTCCTTCCTCTACAACCACCATACCATCATTATAACTACCATTCCTTCCTCTATAACCACCATACCATCATTATAACAACCATTCCTTCCTCACTAACCACCATACCATCATTATAACTACCATTCCTTCCTCTATAACCACCATACCATCATTATAACAACCATTCCTTCCTCTATAACCACCAAACCATCATTATAACAACCATTCCTTCCTCTATAACCACCAAACCATCATTATAACAACCATTCCTTCCTCTATAACCACCATACCATCATTATAACAACCATTCCTTCCTCACTAACCACCATACCATCATTATAACAACCATTCCTTCCTCTATAACCATCATACCATCATTATAACTACCATTCCTTCCTCTACAACCACCATACCATTATTCCTTCCTCTGTAACCACCATACCATCATTATAACTACCATTCCTTCCTCACTAACCACCATCGCAGCTACCATCAAAACGTCTTAACTACTGTACCATCTTCACTGTAACTACCATAATAATACATAACAAACACTACCATAATTACCGTAACTCACCAAAGCATCACCAGGAACCATGGCATACTCGCTACGCTTTCCGAATCTGAAAAGAAAAAAGAAAAAATGATAAAATTGAAGTTAACTGAATGAAAACAACTCTTTTGTTATTATTATTAGTACATTAAAAGCTCTATTTAGCGTACTATATGGAGTGGAATGTCCGTTATATCGAGGTTCCTTCCGTTAGATGTGAAATTCCCTCCCTTATCTAACGGATTCTAGAGATGAAAGTCCGTTATGTAAAGGTTTCACTGTACGGTAGTGTTTAGAATGTTTATTTATTTATTAGTGTATTTGTTATAATAAAGTTTTGTTCTGCTTCTAGTCTAGCCATGGTAGATGTACAGTACAGTTTTGTGTACTGTATTTAGTACAAGGTTAATACACCAACTATATACATATCTTGCGAGAGAGAAAAACACTAATGTCGTTAAATTAATAGTGATAGAGTGAATAAAATCTCTTTCCAGTTGGGACATGAAAAAAAAAACTTTAATCCTTTTTAAATGTGGATTTCGGTGTAAATAACGTGAGTTTAGCAGACGAGGCTACACTGAGGTGGCGGGACAGACTAGTAGTACTGTCAAGTGCTGTGTGGTAAAAGTGACCGTAACTATTATTAGCTAGGAACTATACCCCCTTCTTCTCAGCGTGTAGGCGTAATATGATTAGATTTATCACATTGTAAAGTTTACATTATCGTTTCCTCTTTGTAGTTAGTGAATACATGGTGGCCTGGCCTCGGTATGTAAGAGTTGCTGAGGTTATAGAATGGACAGTTTCCCTAACCTGTGTGAGGTGATGTGGTGAGTTACATGTCCTGTTAGGTTAGGTGAGGTTAGGTTAGGTTAGCTACACTGAGTCAGGAAAACACGAGTATATTTTCGTACAAGGGATGAAATATGATGTAGCACCAGCGCAACGCTCGCACCGTCATTAGCCAATTAGAGTTAAGATGCTGGCTCAGCCTCGTCCAATCAGCTTGTAGCATGGATCTACTGTACACGTTGATACCAATGCATTCCTTAAAGTCATTTAACGCTTCACCCGGTGTTGAGCTACTCAGTATGCCAACAACTAGTGGAATCTTAATGTACTCGTGCCAGAGATCATCTTAAAAGTAAACATTAAACTTCTCAACGCCATTGATTATTTCAAAACTTTTGCTAATTAATTAATGGATCGAATTATGGCTATCCAGGGGAGCTACGTCACTGTCGATATTAAGTAAATGTTGAAGCTATTGATTTCCTTAATGCCGTAATATTTACCTCACACTTTACACAAAGCGTTAACACATGATACTCACCTCGCGCGCTCTTGTCACCACGTTCTCTTCCATGACTAGATTTCGGCTTAGGGCGCGTGATATACTGCGTAACTTTAGTTGTTCTAAACAAATAAATTTACACTTGTTGAGGTTGTAAACTGAGAAATATTATACTGCACGAGACAGGGTCATATATGATAACTTATATATTTTGTTATGACTTGTTTTTTATTAGGAAGTGACAGATTATTTGATATATCTTTTACGTTGTTACCCACACACACACACACACACACACACACACACACACACACACACACACACACACACACACACACACACACACACACACACACACACACACACACACACAGTATTAATTCAGTGTTGTTATTCTGGTTAATGAAAAATACCTTGTGTGAACTTCCGTAAACTTAGAGGCGGATGTGTGTTGCAGCTTCCAGCATTTGTAAATATGAATTCCAACAATTGTAATGTATATTAACTTTGCTCTAACTAATTGTTGGTATATTGTCTCTATGTTCTCTTTCAGTTAACTCAAAATTGGTGTGTGCGTGTGTGTGTGTGTGTGTGTGTGTGTGTGTGTGTGTGTGTGTATTGGTAAGGTTAGGTTAGTTACAGTCTTAAGTTGGGTTAGATCGGCACGGGGCATTTGGGAGGGACACGGAGAAGACTTGTCGACGGTGAAGGCCAATCAGCGTTAACAATGATGTTCGAGATCCAATCAGCGCAAAGTATGATGGCCGAGGAGTACCAATCAGCTCTCGTCATAACAATATACACAATATATGTATAGTTAAATTCCACGTGTATTTTCTACCCAGTAATTATGATCATTCCCACGCAGACATACTCACTTCCAAACCATTTATATTATGATGGAATATTAACGGAATTATCATTTCAATTTCACGCCAGGTGGACAGGTTGTGTACAGGTAACCGTGCCAGACCCCTGAAATGTTTAGTAAAGTTATCCTCATTTTCTTTTATTTTATATATATACTGTACTGTATACTGTATATATATCTAGCCTAGGGTACCACCTCTGGTTGAGTGAGTTTAGTAGACCCTCAGAGAAAAAAATGAGACTCATTCATAGAAAATTAAGTTAGTTATTGTCTTCTATCATCCTATTTTTTTTAAGTTCTTTTACAATAAATATTTTTGTCATTTTACATAGAGGTAAAAAAACCTTTATATCATCAAAATTTAAAACAAAATATCTAGGTGTTCATCAAATTCTCCTCTGCATCAGCGTGTTGAGGTGTTGGAACGAGTCACTTCATACAGTCCCCAGTGGTGTATCAAGTAACTCATGGTGTTGGAAGTCCCCAGTGGTGTATCAAGTAACTCATGGTGTTGGAACAGAGTCACTTCGCCACAGTCCCCCAGTGGTGTATCAAGTAACTCATGGTGTTGGAACGAGTCACTTCCTTACCAGTCCCCAGTGGTGTATCAAGTAACTCATGGTGTTGGAACGAGTCACTTCATGCAGTCCCCAGTGGTGTATCAAGTAACTCATGGTGTTGGAACGAGTCACTTCATACAGTCCCCAGTGGTGTATCAAGTAACTCATGGTGTTGGAACAAGTCACTTCATACAGTCCCCAGTGGTGTATCAAGTAACTCATGGTGTTGGAACAAGTCACTTCATACAGTCCCCAGTGGTGTATCAAGTAACTCATGGTGTTGGAACGAGTCACTTCATACAGTCCCCAGTGGTGTATCAAGTAACTCATGGTGTTGGAACAAGTCACTTCATACAGTCCCCAGTGGTGTATCAAGTAACTCATGGTGTTGGAACAGAGTCACTTCATACAGTCCCCAGTGGTGTATCAAGTAACTCATGGTGTTGGAACGAGTCACTTCATACAGTCCCCAGTGGTGTATCAAGTAACTCATGGTGTTGGAACGAGTCACCCCATACAGTCCCCAGTGGTGTATCAAGTAACTCATGGTGTTGGAACAAGTCACCCCATACAGTCCCCAGTGGTGTATCAAGTAACTCATGGTGTTGGAACGAGTCACTTCATACAGTCCCCAGTGGTGTATCAAGTAACTCATGGTGTTGGAACGAGTCACTTCATACAGTCCCCAGTGGTGTATCAAGTAACTCATCTCCTTCAGGACCTTGGTGGCTCAGGTTCCTTAACACTCCATCCTTCTGGCTGTCCCCTTGAGCTAGTGGGTCCTTCTCCCTCTAGCTACGGCGTTTTAATTGGACTTTTATGAATATTTTGTAATAACCTTTGTGTATAATATTTATCGTATTATTATTATTATTATCATTATCATTATTTTATCTTCCTTTTTATTTCAATATTATGTATTTCGTGGAGGCTTGAGTCCTTTGTTGTATTAAGTACGAGTGTGACTGGAGTGAAACTACTCTCTCTCTCTCTCTCTCTCTCTCTCTCTCTCTCTCTCTCTCTCTCTCTCTCTCTCTCTCTCTCTCTCTCTCTCTCTCTCTCTCTCTCTCTCTCTCTCTCTCTCTCTCTCTCTCTCTCTCTCTCTCTCTCTCTCTCTCTCTCTCTCTCTCTCTCTCTCTCTCTCTCTCTCTCTCTCTCTCTCTCTCTCTCTCTCTCTGTATCGTAGAGTGATTAACTAATTCATAGGTGCGTGTAGGTTGGTGTGTGTGTGTGTGTGTCATGAAAAACGCTAGAATAAATAAATATATACATCGCTATGTTTACGTTTTTGACACACAGGTTTTCCATCATCAGAACAATATATGTAATAAAACAAAAATGCACATATGTGTGTGTGTGTGTGTGTGTGTGTGTGTGTGTGTGTGTGTGTGTGTGTGTGTGTGTGTGTTACTCTATCCACCTCGTTTATCCTGTGAATGGAGGGTCTATCTGTATGAGTTGTATTGACTTTCTGTTGAATATAATCTCTAATCGTCACTAATTGCCTGTTGTTATAGATTTATTTATTTATTATGATCTGTCATTTATTGTATATACCAACGTTGTGGTTAGGTTAGGTTAGGTTGTGGTTAGGTTAGGTTAGGTTGTGGTTAGGTTGGTTAGGTTAGGTTAGGTTGTGGTTAGGTTAGGTTGTGGTTAGGTTGTGGTTAGGTTAGGTTGTGGTTAGGTTGTGGCTAGGTTAGGTTGTGGTTAGGTTGTGGTTAGGTTAGGTTGTGGTTAGGTTAGGTTAGGTTGTGGTTAGGTTAGGTTTGGATAAATATGATAACTTTATCCTTCACCTCGGGGCTATAATCCGCCACTACTTAATATCGTCAATGTTTTTTTTTGTATCCTTAGTTATGATACAAAGACGACGACAAACGCTGAAATATACGAGAATTAGTGAGTAAATGAGGCGATAGAAAGATGAAGAGGAGAAGGAGGGGGAGAAAGATGAGAGGGAAGGAGGAATAGGAGATGAGAGGGAAGGAGGAGTAGGAGATGAGAGGGAAGGAGGAGTAGGAGAAGGAGGAGGGAAGGAGGAGTAGGAGATGAGAGAGAAGGAGGAAGAGGAGGAAGGAGAATGAGAGGAATGAGGAAAAGGAGGAAGAGGAGAGGAATGGGGAATAGGAGAAGAAGGAGGAGGAAGACGGAGGGGTAACAGCAAAAAGAAGAATAGGAGGAAGAGGGATTATGATAACAAGTAAGATGGAAAGACTCGAATATAATACCCATAAACTATATTGAACTTGGTTATATTGTACACATATAGTAATGAAGTAAAGCTTAGGTCATGCCGTTATAGGAGATTATAATATGTGTTTTATGAAGGTTTGTGCCATGCAGGGTTCACATGTATGCTATATTATATACAGTGAAACCTCTATATATATATTCCGTTAGTTAGTTTTTTTTTATATAACGGACACCTCGATATAACGGCCTTTCATCTCTATATAGTTCGTTAAATAGAGGCTTCACTGTATGTTGTATATATTTAGTGTTTGTGAACGTTTGTGCCATGCAGTGTACCAAGTGACTGTATACTGTGTGTGTGTGTGTGTGTGTGTGTGTATGTGTGCGTGTGTGTGTGTGTGTGTGTGTGTGTGTGGTGTGTGTGTGTGTGTGTGTGTGTGTGTGTGTGTGTGTGTGTGTGTGTGTGTGTGTGTGGTGTGAGTGTGTGTGTGAGTGTGAGTGTGTGTGTGTGTGTTGTGTGTGTGAGTGTGTGTGTGTGTGTGATAATGAACATGGTAACATAACTATAGTCTACGAAACAATAAACAAACAAACATGGCATCTAGCAGTATCATTAAATAGAGAAAAAAAACATTACATGGCAACTTACACTGTCCCCAGAAGTATATAAATCAAGAAACATTGGCAAGCAAGACTAAAGAGCAGTGTGTGTGTGTGTGCGGAGGCGTGGCGGGCGTGGCGGGCGTGGCGGGCGTGGCGGGCGTGGCGGGCTGTGTCGGGCGGGTGGGAACTATGAACCTCTAAAGGCAGATTAAGTAGAGTACTGTGTTGCCTGACTCACCGCGGCCTGGCCCTAAGGGAATACATTTTGCCCAACTCTTGTAACTGAAGGAATTTTAGGGCTTTTTCCAGGGCCTGTATCTGGGAGGCGGGACCTGGCGACGAACGAAGGCTAGGGGCAAAAGCAATAGGTGATGAGCTAGGGTAGAGAGAGAGAGCGAGAGAGAGAGAGAGAGAGAGAGAGAGAGAGAGAGAGAGAGAGAGAGAGAGAGAGAGACAAAAAATGCACTCAGGAAGGTAGAGTGAGAAAGAGATAAAGAAAGTGAAAGAAAATTAAATATAATAAAAGAGATAGATAAATAAACAGATAAAGAGAGGGAACACAAGAGAGACAGAGAGAAGAAGATGATGAAAGTCATTTTATATTATCATTATTATTATTATTATTAACAATGTCATTATATTTGTCTTCACTATTTAAACATTAGGAAGTGGATCATTGTCCCCTTGAACCACCCATTAGCAGTACTGTAGGGGTTCAATTGGTCCAGTTCAAGGTTAGGGGTTCAATTGGTCCAGTTCAAGGTTAGGGGTTCAATTGGTGGTGTTTTGGAGTCACTGTGAACCACGAATTTTGTACGGTCATAATAAAAGATTCTTTGTTGATGTGATTTATGAACCAATGAAAACCCTCCTTTAAGTTAACTTATTTTTTATGTCGTGAGCTTCGTCCAATCAGCAGCTTTCTACTGTATAACTGTTCGTCCAATCAGCTTTCAGGGGTCAAAATCCACTTCCTTTCTTCCTATTTAAGACGATTTCATAATTATTCAGCACAAAACTGTATACATACTGTAGATGAATAATGTAACATATGTATAATTATTTATGTTCATGCAGATTATTATTATTATTATTATTATTATTATTATTATTATTATTATTATTATTATTATTATTATTATTATTATTATTATTATTATTATTATTATTATTATTATTATTATTATTATTATTATTATTATTATTATTATCATTATTATTATTTAGTACTATGAGGTAAAGGCATTTTTTATTATTTAATGCATAAAATTTGCTTTAGGCCCGCTGCCCGCTTGTAAACAAACCACTCAGCGAGGATGATTCCCGTGTCTATGACGTCATATACTGCTTTGAGAGAGGTGATGATGTTTTAGCGTTCAACTCAAAACCCCCCTCGGGCGTCCTGTACAATTTCCATTATTGGTTAACTTGAGACCGAATCACCTGAAGATTAGCCACCCCTCCCTCCTTCCCTCCTTCCTCGTTCTCTACTTCCCTCCCTCCTGTCCCTCCCTTCCTCTCCCAGTTTATTTCACCTAATGATTAAACACCATAACGCTAAAGTAACATAACCTAACCTAATCACACCCGACCTAACCTAACCTAACTTAACTTAACCTACAATTAACGTAAGAACCCACACGGCTGAGTTAAAGGGCGTGGAGAATTGTTATTATTATTATTATTATTATTATTATTATTATTATTATTATTATTATTATTATTTCTTGTTGTTGACGGAAATGCAAAACTTATTGGATGGTTATGGGAGACAGGGAGGAAGGAGGTTGTTGTGTTGATGGGCCCATACACACAAACACACACATAAACACACATAAACACACAGACATACACACACACACACACAGACACACACAAACACACACACACACACACACACACACACACACACACACACACACACACACACACACACACACACACACACACACACACATCAACAATTCCGTAAGTTGCATTGGTAAGGTGTTGCTTCACTCTGTTGCATCTTTGTTGATAATCGAGTTTTACACTGCATCTCTTTCCTTCAGAACACGTCTTGTACATGTTTCATACCTGCAGGAAGAGAGGAGAGAAGAAGAAAGGGAGGAGGAGGGAAAAGGAGAAGAGGAAAGGGAGGAGGTTGAGGAAGGGAGAGAAAGGGGAATAGGAGGAGGAAGAAGATGAAATAGGAGGAAGAAAATGAGAAGTTAAAAGGCAGAAGGAGGAAGAAGGAGAGATCGAATATGATAGAGAGGGGAGGAGGAGGAGGAGGAGGAGGACGAAATTGAGGAAGAACGGTCGTATGATGGTTAAGTAGCTTGACAGACAGACAGACAGACAGACAGACAGAAAGACAGGCAGACAGATTCGTGGATACTGTCCTAAGAAACAACAACAACAACAACAACAACAACAGGCACCTGACCTGTGTGTGTGTGTGACTTACGTTCATACAAGGGCGGGCGAGGGTAAAACATTCAGGTGTTTGTGTCTGTGTGAATGTTTATCGTTCGTGTTGAATATTTAGTAGTAAATAAACAAACTGCCGGAATGTAAAGGAGTGGAAGAGGAGAAGGGAAGGAAGAGTTAATGCAGAGGGAAGGTTAGGAATGTTAGCGCCGTTAAAACATCGCTAACATTCTTCATTCAGATATTTAGCTCCGTTAAAACATCGCTAACATTCTCCATTCAGATATTTAGCGCCATTAAAACAAGAGTTATTATAGTAAACATCGGAATAATGTTTATACAGACAACAATACCGGCCACGTCACCTCACCAGCTGATCTGTTTACATGATGCGACAGCCTTCATTACTGACAAGGAAAAAAAAAAGCAAAATAGTTTATCATAATGAATATAATTACAGAGAAACCGCTATATAACGCATTCCTCTCTCCATATAACCCATGAGATAGTTCCATATATAACGGACATTCATCTCTATATGGTTCGTTAACTAGAGGTTTTACTGTATAGCGAAGTCAAATTATGTAGTGAGGTTGTAGTGTGGTTGTAGTGTGTTGTAGTGTGTTGTAGTGTGTTGTAGTGTGTTGTAGTGTGTTGTAGTGTGTTGTAGTGAGGTTGTAGTGTGTTGTAGTGTGTTGTAGTGTGTTGTAGTGTGTTGTAGTGTGTTGTAGTGTGTTGTAGTGAGGTTGTAGTGTGTTGGAGTGTGTTGTAGTGTGTTGTAGTGTGTTGTAGTGTGTTGTAGTGAGGTTGTAGTGTGTTGTAGTGTGGTTGTAGTGTGTTGTAGTGTGTTGTAGTGTGTTGTAGTGAGGTTGTAGTGTGTTGAAACTGTCTATCTGTTCTTTAAAATTAGATCCCTGTACCTGCTTGGTTAACTGAGCCGGCGAGGGGGCAGAAAGGGGAGAGGGGCTTCATGGGGAGGGAGGAGGAGGGGGCTGGGGGGGGTGGAGAGGGGGAGCTTCAGAGAGGGAGGAGGAGGGGTGGCTGGGGGGTGGAGAGGGGCTTCATTAGGGAAGGGGGAGGAGGAGGGAGGAGGGGGCTGGGGGGTGGACATTAGAGGGAGGGAGGGAGGAGGAGGAGGCTGGGGGGTGGAGGGGCTTCACAGAGAGGGAGGAGGGAGGAGGAGGAGTGGCTGGGGGGGGTGGGAAGGGGCTTCATTAGAGAGAGAGGGAGGGGAAAGAGGTAAATGGTAGGATCTCATCTTGGGAAGGATTTAATTGCTAAGTTTAAATACCCTGTGATCTAGTATTGACGGTGGATTAAAGTTATTCCCCAGGGTCTTGTCTGATGATATTTTGGTCAGGTCAGGTCAGGTCAGGTTAGGTTAGGTTAGGTTAGGTTAGGTTAGGTTAGGTTAGGTTAGGTTAGGTTAGGTTAGGTTAGGTAAGTCTAGTTATGAGGAGGAATAACCACATACAGTACCTCGGTGTTGCGTGCCAAGGTTAACGGGAATCAGTACCAATCCTATCAAAACTACGACTCTCTTAACCATGTAATTGACAAAGGTGGTCTGTGGTGAGACTCTCGGCAATATTGTCCGTTTGTCTGTCTGTAGAATCATAATGGGGAAGGGGTGGAAGTAGGGGGGGGTGGTGAAGAAGGGTATAGCCGATAAATGGACGTTATAATGGAAGGGTGGGGGGTAGAAGAAGGGGTATAGCCGATAAATGGACGTTAAGTAATCAGCCACATTAATCGATTTTTGTATTATCATTTTAAGTTCCTCGGTGATTTATACAGGAATACAAAAAATGAATAAAATTTTCATTAACTCATAATTATATTCCTTAATTATTATTATTTTTTAATGGTGGCAGTCTGAAAAAAAACCCAAAACAAAACACGACTTTAACTTAAATGGGTTTAATAAATTCTTTTAACTAACACTGGTTTATGTTTTTTTCTACAGGTTCCGACTTCAGTACAAGGTAAAGTACACAGTGTGCCAGTTATACCTTTGTAAGATATCATTATAATAGGGTACACAGTTTTATAATAGACACACCTAACGTTATAAATAGTTCCAGGGAGTGAAAGACCTATCAATATACTCTTCAATCTTACTTATTTTTTCTTTTCAATCTTTTACTTAGAAACAACAACATCGGAAATTTGATTAAAAAACACGATATTATTCCAAATCTCAAATCGTGAAAAAGAGGGATTTGTTTTTTTTTCAGATAATAATAATATACTGTTATATTTTTGTCTGTTTAACTTAAAATTAGTAAAGATTATTTCAGATGAAGGTACGTTAGCCATGTATATATTGTCATCCAACCTGGCTAGCTATCACAACAGCTCGCTATATTACCCTCTATTCCCACATATTGTCAGGGTAGTGTCGGGTGTACCGCCTCCTCTAACTTGATCTCGTTGTATATTTAAATGGCGGGTAAAATCACTCTGTTTACACGCTTCCAGAATTAATTCAGAGCTCCGCCTGTAGGATTATCATTTATTACGCTGATGTGAGTTTGATGTTCATTTTGGTGCACACATACACAGACAGACAGACACACAGACACACACACACACAGACAGACAGACGCACACACACACACACACACACACACACACACACACACACATACACAAAACTGTTAGGAAGTAGTATTATATAGTATATTATCAAGGACCATAACACAATACTGTATTAACGTTGAGTGTGACCGAGAGTCGAGTTGAGTGGTGGCGGGAGGGGAGGAGGGAACAGCTGGCGGGCGACACGTGGCTTTGTTTACATCAGAAGCAAACCCCGTTAGAGTGTAAAAAAATGTTAACGGGGTGATTTTCAGGTAAAAAGTGAGTGAAAAACGGGATTTGGGATGAGGTTGGTTAGTGTGTGTGTGTGTGTGTGTGTGTGTGTGTGTGTGTGTG